CACCTGGGAGTTTCATGTAGTGTTGTATGCGAGGTGATGGGCACACTGTGAACCTGGAGCAATGGGAAATGAGGTATGGCCACACTCGAGTGTCTCCTTATTGCTCATTTGCTTGGACCAGGGATGACTCCACGTGAATCTGGCTGCATGTCTCTGTACAAAGCTGCAGTGTGTAATAGATTTCTCCAGAGTGAGTGGAAGCAGCCAACCTGCTTTTGCATCCTTGCCGACCCCAGAGGTAGGACAGATGCAGGTTGCTGTGCTGGGGAACACATGAGCCACGCTGCATTTGAACTGATTTGAAATGTCTGCACCCCTGATGCTCTTCTAATTCACAGCCTGGGTAAATTGTTCACAGGTGATGAGGAGTTGCATTTGAGTTACTACAATAGCTTGTTTAAGTACTCACATTGCTCACATTTACTCACAATATCAATTTTATGTGAATGATGTATTGTAAATGAGTCTGAATGGAGAAAACATGCTTGAAATTATATGAAAACCCGAATTTCTTTGAATCTTTTTAAATGACCAGGGCAGGAAGAATATCTGTCTTTAACAGCTTGAAAAAATTATTTCATGGTTCCAGTAAGAATCAAGATTCCTTACTGAAGAAACGTCCTACTTCAGTGTTCCTGATGTCAGCAGAAATGGTATGGTGTGAGCAATTAATAGAAGGGTTAGCACTATGCTGGTGGATATTCCACACATTGCATCTTGCTTTAAGTTCCATATGGTTGTGAAGCATCGTCGAAAAATCTAGTGGTAAGCTGTGTCTCCGGCTAGAAGGGGGCTCTGCAGAATTTAAAAGTTCATTCAAGAGGAAAGTTCTTTAAAACAAACAAAAAGATCCATAAACATTTGTTGCTGAGTATAGAAGCCCTGGAGAGTCTCTTGTTGCACAGGAACATAGCTGAGATACAATGCTGTGAAGTTTCAGGTCTGTATTCTTTACTCTGTTTTGTCATTTGGCGTTTGGAGAAGTGGTCATGCGCTCTAGATACAAAGGTGAAAACCAGGGCTTTGAAAAGTAGGTGCATCTTCAACTGGTGGGAGCATGTAGGATCTTCTTCTGACAGGATTAACGAAGTACAGTCTGTTTGGAGAAGATGTTTAAAAGGCTCCTGTTTGTCATTTACTCTCGGACTTTAACTATGTTGCTCTTGTTTCCAAGCTTATCTTTGCAATCAAGAGTGTTATCGCTGACATTGCTGAAGCTTTGGGCTTTTAAAGGATATGTTGAAAAACTTGGGAAGAAACTGAAGTGGAATCCCATAGGTGCTGATGGAGACAGTCTTACTACTTACTATTCAAATCTGTTCAGGTCTTGAAAAAATGGTCAAAACACAGCAATCTGGCAGTAATTTGACTTTAAACTCCTACAGCTGCTACTGCAAGTGGGTCTGTATTAAAGGAATGACAACTGGAGGGGAGCATCAAGGCGAGAAAACACGTCTTCACT